CAGGTACGTGCAGCTGCGGCGGCGGCAAAAATTGTTGTTCGTTTGGTCGCCGCAGGTTGCCGCAGCGGCGAACGCAACGTTCTGCGATTAAAAACGTTGCGTTTGCCGCAACCGCTACCACTGCCGCAACCGCCGGCGGCGACCAAACGAACACGCCCAAGATTATTTATATGTTTCAATTTATAAAAGAGAATTAAAATTTAGATGGTACAATTAAGCGAGATTATGGGTTTAACAAAATAAATGTGTTTATTAAATGTTTTTACTATTTTTAATATGTTATAATTGTTTAATTTTTTATTTATATTTAAATGTAATATGTTATAGTTCAATCTCATTGGCTAAAACAAGAAGGGTGAATGAAAGGGAACTAAAAAGATACATTATTAACTTAAAATAAGGACAATAAAAGCTAATATAATTCGTAGTATAATGATTTCCAAAATACATATATATATATATATATATATTTTCAAATAGGTGACGTTGTATACTTTCAAATTTAAAAAGATTTCTTAATGCTTATTTCAATGACACTATAACTCATTTTTCTAGGTTAATGTTAATACCGAAGAATTTTTTTTTGTTTTTGTCAACATTAGGCCACAACTGGCCGGCCCATTAGCCTAATCCCTACAAATATGTAGGGAGCAGGACTCGATCCCTAGTGTGATGGTGTCTGTCCATTAGTGGACTTATCATTTGCCACTATACTAAGGGGGGTTATTGGATCATTGATTTTGATGGATTTGGAAATCCAAACAAAAATCCTATGTTATTCAATCATTGATTTTAAAATAACTATCAAAATCATGTGTTATTGGTTGTATGATTTATAAATACTAGTTAAAATCCAATGTTATTCGTTTAGTGATTTGTTTTTGGATTTTAAAATCCGCAGTATGTTTTAAATGGATTTGAAAGGATTTGATAGAGTAAAATAGAAGGATTCAAATCCAAGGATAAAACATGTTATTTCAAAATCCATGTATTTTGATTTTATAAATAATAAGGATTTACAAATTCTAGGTGGATTTACAAATCCTATAACCAATAACCCCCCCTAAAGTCACTTCACAATAAATAAGAACTTTACCCTCAAAGTTGGTAATAATATAAGAAATACAATAAATTGCTAAGTAAAAAGAGAAATTGATACCAATAACCTTTTTATGATACCCTCTTTTAAAAATACCCTCTTTTTTTACCATTTTCATTTTTGCCCTCTCTTAATTTTTAATGGCTATTTTACCCTTATTTGAAAGAATATTCTTTCCCAAAGGAAGGAATATTCCTTCCAAAAATTCCCCCCCCCCAAATTTCCTGCCAAAAACTTTCCCGCCAAAATTTTCCCGCCAAAAAAGTTTCAAAGAAAAAATTTTCCCGCCAAAAAATTTCCGCAAAAATTTTTCCGCAAAAAAAAAATATTTTTTTCAAAATTTTCCCGCCAAATTTTTTTAAAGGGTTTACAAGATTTTTTAAAGGGTCTTTTAAAGGGTTTACAAGGGTTTTTAAAGGGATTAACAAGAGTTTTTAAATGGAAAAAAGATATCTAGCTACATGAACTAAGTTACAATACATGTTCACACATCTGAAGTTTAAAAATGTATCCCTAACTACACAAACTATATGCATTGCATGCCCACATATACGAACTATATGTAGTCATGTCGCCAACATCACAAACATTTTTTTCCGGTGCACTTTTCCTATTTTCAAAAATATTTGGACACAAATATCATTTGATTTAATATTCGAATATTTAATATATAATATGTGAATTTTAAATATTAAAAAATTAGAATCAATCCAATTATGTGTGAATTTTATTCTACTAGTTATAAAAATCGTTAGATCGTCTATCTTATAAATATTAAAAGGAAACATTGTGATTTTTTATTTATTTTTACGTGTTATTTTTATTAACAATTATTTTACCTAATTAATTTTTTTTAGTTTAGTTTTGAAATTATCGAAACTAACTAATTATAAAAATCAATGCATTGAATATATATACAAAATATTTTTATATTGAATATTTTATTTATTTTTTGTATCATACAATATTATAAATGATTCAAGAACATAATTTTTAAATATTAAAAATCTAGAAAAATGTTTTTTAAAAAATATTTATGTTGGTCAACGTCGGTCAAACTGGTCAACGCCGAATTCCGACGAAAAATGTACCGGAAAAATATGTTTGTGATGTTGACGACATGATTATATATAGTTCGTATATGTGGGCATGCGATACATATAGTTTGTGTAGTTGTAGATACATTTTTAAACTTCGAATGTGTGGCCATGTATTATAGCATACTTCGTGTAGCTAGGTATCTTTTTTCCTTTTTAAATGGTTTTTAAAGATATGTAATGGTTTTAAGGAGTTTTAGAAGCCTACAAAGGTTTTTAAATGGTTTTTAAATGATTTACAATGGTTTTTAAAAGTTTTATAAGTTTATAACAGTTTTAAAAGGATTTACAAGAATTTTTAAAGGATTTTAAAAAATTACAAGGATTTTTAAAGGTTTTTTAAAAGGATTTACAAGTGTTTTTAAAAGGATTTAAAAGTATATTTAAATGCATACAAAGATTTAAAAATAGTTTTAAAGGATTTACAAGAAGTTTTAAAGGGTTTTAGAAGTTTACAAAGGTTTTTGAAGGGTTTACAAAAGTTTTTAAAGATATTACAAGTTCTTTAAAATGGGTTTTAAGGATTTAAAAGGGTTTTTAACGGGTTTTAGAAGTTTACAAAAGTTTTTATTAAATGATTTATCACGGTTATAAGTGGTTTAAAGGGATTTACAAGTGTTTATAAATGTTATAAAATGATTTACAATGATTTTAAAAGGTTTACTCAAGTTTTGAAAGGTTTTGGATGACTTTTAAAAGATTTACAAGGGTTTTTAAAGGATTTTTTAAGGGATTTATAAATATTTACAAGGTTTTTTTAAGAAATTGCGGAAAATTTTTGGCTGAAATTTTTTGGCGGGAAAATTTTTGTCGGAAAATTTTTGGCGGGAAATTTATTTTTGCGGGAAAATTTTTGGCGGGAAATTTTTTGCCGAAAATTTTTGGCGGGAAAATTTGGCGGGAAGTTTTTCGGAAGGAATATTCTTTTTGTTGGAAAGAATATTCCTTTTTCATCATGAGTTATAATAAAGGAGGGTAATTTAGTCATTTGTACATTGAAGAGGGTATTTTTGAAAATGAACACCTAAAGAGGGTATTTGTAGAAAATGGTATGATAATAAAGGTTAGTTGTGCAAATCTCCCAAGTAAAAAACATGCGAGAATAAGTTTTTAAAAACCTAGAAGTTAGGAAAAAACATTTTTAGGATAATGGTATAATCATGTTTAGGGGTATAATATCTAAATTAAGTTTTTTGAAAAATTTGGTAATAGTGATATTATGAAAAATAATTTCAAAATTACCCCTTTTCCAATACCACTTTTTAGAAATACCCCTCTTTCAAATTTTATCAAAAAATCACTAAAACAATTTATCAAAAGATATGTGTAAGCTTAGGGCTGGCTGTACTAGTCCCCCTGTAATATACCGTTTCAACTAGGTTCCCCCTATACTTCCAGCCTCTGCCTAATTCCACCTATACGACATATATTTTATCAAATTCCACTCAAACTACATAATTCTACCCAATTAACCAAAATCAATTAATTTTTTTCAATAGCGTTTTAAAATTGATAATTCGACACAAACTATCTTTATATGTGTGTAAATTTATATATATATATATATATATTTCAGAAATACCATATAAAAACCTTTTAAAAACTATTTAAAAACCTTTAACAAATTTGTAAACCTTTTAAAAACCTTATAAACCCTTATAAAAGCCGTTTAGAACCTTTTAAAACATTATTAATATTCGGATCGAGACTCTCAGTAGTACCTTATAAACCATATAAAAGTTTGTAATTTTTCATATTTGAAAAAGGGTTTTATTGAAAATGGATAGAAAGTGATACACCAAAATGGGCATTTCTCAAAAATTCTCCACAATTTTTTGGGTAATCAATAATTTTTTAATAACGATTTTTGAATATGTATGATACATAAATTATTTTGTTCAACAAGAAAAAAATAATTTAAGATCTGATTTTTTTTGGGGGATTTGCACAACTAACCTTTTTATAATACCCTTTTCTACAAGTACCCTCTCTAGGTGTCCATTTTCAAAAATACTCTCTTCAATGTACAAATTGACTAAATTACCCTCCTTTATTCTAGCCCATGAAGAAGAAAGAAATATTCTTTACAAGAAAATGGCTATTAAAATTTAAGAGAGGGCAAAAATGAAAATAGCAAAAAAAGAGGGTATTTTTAAAAGAGGGTATCATAAAAAGGTTATTGATATCAATTTCTCTTTTTTAATACTTTGGATATAATATTTAATTTTAATTTTATTTTGAAACTAAATAATTCGTCTATTAGACGTGCCCTAATCTATATTAGAACATATGATATTCAATTAATATTGATTTAAATACTTTTTAAAAATGTTATGATTTTCCAAAATTTAACACATGCAATATTTTTAGTTCATACGTGAAAACATAAATTTTAATCCGAGTTTTTTCGCGGGCCCTTATCTAGTTTATTTATGTAATAAATAATTGAAAGAAATTTGATACATCTAGAATTGTAAATGATTAGGATATAGAGTAAAAAAGATGAAAGAGAGAGAGAGAGAGAGAGAGATATTTTCTTCTTCTATATTTGAAGTTATGAAATTGTGTATTACAACTAGCCATGAGCGTTCGGTTTAGACGGCTTGTTTGGGTCGGGTTATTCAGTTTAGAGGAAATTCGGTTTCCAAATACTCTCACCGAATAGCCCGAATTAAAATTTGGTTCAGGTCGGTTTGTTCGGATCGACTTTTAGCTAAATTTAAAGTTCCTAATTTGGACCAATTGTTTTTTAATTTGGGTTTTTTTGGTTTACATTTTTTATTTAAAAATATTTCAAGGTAAAATCCCAATAACAACAGCCTATTTAACAAAGTTAAGAGGTCATAATAAAATATCAAGCCCAAATCAAATAATGGTAACCAAGCCCAAATCCACCTAGATATAGGTTTTCAACCAAAAAACAATTGTGACGACGATCGACGCTCCGCTGCTTGAACTGTTGTATCTATGATTCCAAGTTCATCACATTCTTTCTCATTGTTGTTGACATGTTTTGAGAATCCATCTACAAAAATAAGAAATTTTAAGCATTAGATCTAGATAAAAACTTCCAGAAAACACAGATGCATAAATAAAATAAAAAACAAACTAATTAATACACTCGGTAAAATCCATTAAAAAAAAGAGATCAAAGAGAAGAAAGATCAGAGTTTGTAGAGACAGAGAAGAAAGATCAGAGTTTGTAGAGACAGAGAAGAAATTACAGACAAAGTCACCAAGGAATTAAAGTATTAAACGAATTAGGGACTAAGGAGAAACAAGAAGCCCATACCGTTCATAAATTTGCAGTTAAGGGTCCTAAGAGACTGTGAGAATAAAGAATGAATTGATAAAGTGACGAAGATGAATGGATGAAGTAAAGAAGATGAAAGAAGTTTTTATTTTTCTTCGGCCGCAACAACCAAGAAGCAGATCTAAACATAAATATTAGGGTTAATGCATCATTATCCTTATATAGTGTAGCTGTAAAATTTTGGTTTAGGATAAACCGATTGGCTCCGATTAACTTTAACTCACCGACATCCAAATCCTCTGAAAAACATGGCCGATCGGGTCAATATCTTTTGGTTTTTTGGTGCCGATAACCAAAACATTCGGTTCTCTGGGGTCGGTTTGTTTGGTCTGACCGTATGCCCAAGACTAATTACAACGTTCGAATTCAGCGGATTAGCTTCTGTTTTGTTGCGGATCTTTACTTCCGGTAGTGTTGCCGGTCTTCATCTCTATTCGTGTTGTATTCCTAGATCAAGACCTATAGAGAACATGGCTAAGGATTTATGGGAAGCGATGCAAAATCTTAACTTGAATATTGACAGAACACCTCTAAAGATGTCTCAAGAAGCTATGCGGTTCCGAGAGAATATCAATCGACTCAGTATAGTAGTGAAATGTTTAAATCTGAAGCATCAGAAATTGGTAGGGATGAAAGAACCTCTTCCAAAAGCTTGGAATTTGCAGGGACAAGTTACAAGCCAAATAAATGATGATGGCATGGTTCAATTCTTGTTCAAAGGGAAGCATCATCTTATGACAATTTCAGAAAATGGACCCTGGCATTATAATCTTTGGATGGTGGCTATGGAAAGTTGTACAAGACGTTATCTTCCAAACTTTGGGTTAAAATTCTGAATATTCCTGAAGAATTCAGATCTAATGCAGTCGTCCATGAAGTAGTAGGTGTACTTTGACATATCGATAGAGTAAGATTTCAGGAACCAACAAAAATTTTGTAAGTGAAGTTTGGGCCAAGTTCACTATCAAGATTGATGATCGACTCATCTTTGTCAGGTATATTGATTTCAGTCCAAGAGAACCCTTAGTAATGATAAGATTCATCTTCCCAAAACTATGTAAATTTTGCTTCCAAAGTGGATTTCTACGCCATGAGGAATTAGTGTGCACTTATACTTTCTCAATTCCTCAAATTGATGATGAATCAATTTGAAACGCTCCAAAGCCGCTTCATGGAGACTCTCAAGGGGATGATGCGAATATGAGTGAGGATATAGATTCTACGACTCAAGAAGCATGTAATCTCAAGTCAATGCTGCCTCCTAGACCAAGAGAGGTTAATCACATGTTTATATCCCATGATATTGAACCCATTACTATCAATGAATATGGAGCTACATTTAAACCAGGGGTTGATGCAAAAGGAAAAGCAATAGCAGCAGAAATTGAAGATTAAACTTTCGGCAAAGGTTATGAAAGAAGCTTCTTTTATCACTTAGCCTGAATTTCCATGTAACATGCTTCAACAACATTGATCAAATTTTTATGAAGACTTTATAAATCAGATTGATCCAGAAGTACAAGAAGGGAATCATGTTGACAACAAAGATACATAAAAGAGGTTTAAAGAGAAAAGGTGAGGATATGCCAGATGAAGACCAAGCTTCAACATCAAAACCAAGAATCAAAGGAAACTTTCAGAGTCAGGGGAGGGTGGAAACCCCTAAACCACCCTTTCTTAATGAGGATTTTGCATTGGAATTGTCAAGGCTTAAAGAGAAACCCCTGACAGTGTTCAAAAAAAAAGAAAAAAAAAAGAGAAACCCCTGACAATTCTATATCTGAAAGATATCACGAAGTCTTCTAAACATGATATCTTGTTCCTCATAGAAACTAAAAACGGCTATCAGTATGTAAATGATCTAGGACACGAACTCAGCTATCGTCATAGATTCATTATCCCCTCAGAAGGTCTAAGTGGTGGTTTTATCGATTTTTTGGAATGACTCAATCCATATTGAGTTTGTGGATATTGAGAGAACATCTCTCATGTCTTCTTTTTTTGGAATTTAAATCTCTTATCTCCCTTTTTATTCTACATACCCTTCCTTCATTAAACCAAATGTGTTATTCCAAAACTACCCTTCTTTATTTTCTTTTTATTTTATTTAGTTTAATTAAGAAAAACAAAAAAATAAGAGAAAATAAAAAATCAGTTTGGGCCTCCCCTCGCCCTCGTCCGCCTTCTCCTCCAAAACCCGACGCCGTGCTTGGTTTTTGCTGCCAGAACTGTCGATTCCGGCGACGTCGGAAGCCCATCGTTTCTTCTTCTCTTTGAGCTGTACAAAGCTCCAAAATGCAGGTACATTCTTCAACTATAAGCTTGATATTTGTATAGATTTTTGAAATTTGATTGGTTTTTGGTTGAGAAGATTAATCCTTAGCACATTGGATGTTTTACCATGGGTTCTGGATTGATTAAGCTATTTAGTTGATTAGAATGAATATTAGAGTTTGATTCGTCTTGAATTTCAGAGTTTAGAACCCGAAACCTTCGATTAGATTTTGAGTATAACTAGTAAAACTGGTACAATTAGTAAAACTGATCAAGTTAGTATTACGGTAAAACTAGTAAAACTGGTAATACTGATTAATGCAGTCGAACTAGTAGTATTACTAATTGATTTTTTTTTTTTGGCAGGATACAATGAGCGAAAGCATTAGCATACATTTTAAGTGTGAAGGTCGGATGTATAGTATGTTGGATATGTTGAGAGCCACGTTAAATTAGAGTTGAGCTACTATCCGCTATTGGCATAACTGAATGAGAGGGAAAAGTGTACGATTTATGATGATGAGGATGAGAATGTGTATTTAACGTCTTTTGATAAAGAGAAACAAAGATGTATGGTTTTTGTGGATGTCACAAAGGTATCGGAACGGGTCATTGAAGATGATGATGATGATGTCACAAAGGTATCCCTATAAAAGTAAAGTCTTCATGCTTCGAAACACTTCTTCTTTGTTTTGTGTCCATGTAAAACCGCATTTCTTCACTTTTCTCATTTGTTGTTCTGCTTTTGCTAAGACGTCTGAACTAGTCTCTGAACTAGTACACTCTGTTGTTCAGACTACATCTTCATATATATATATATATATATATCCCAAAATTTAACATCTAATTCTCACTTAAAATACAAAACCCCAAAATTCTAAAATCTATCTACTCAAATCCCTAGTTTACCAAATCATTTTATATCTAGTCTCTATATCTTGTTCATGAAATTCTCAAACTTTAAAAGATTAATTACCGTTTAGTTAAAACTAGCTAGGATGTTGATTTCAATTTGTGTGCATGATTGAGTTTTATCGATTGGAATAAGACTTTTGGTCATGCAATTTATTATTATACTAGATTTTAACCCGCGGTATACCGCGGGATGACATTCTAAAATGTATTCTTTTTATTAATTTTGTTTGGTATATAAGAGTGTACTACAATATTTTTATTGTTAATTCTATGATTTAACCCGTAAAATATTATATGATAATTTAATTTGTTGCTAATCGTAATTTGATCAAATTAATTAAATAAGTATAATATGTAAAATAATGATTAGATATTGACTACATAATATTCGTTTACATAGTATAATTTCATATTAAAATATTTTGTGAGTTATACAATAGTAGACAACATGTTAAAATATCTATAATTATAATTATGTAAATTATAACCCGTTCTATCACATAACTCGTGCTATACAATTCTCAATAATACTTTAGTATATCTATTTTTGTATCATTTGAGTAATATACATCCGTTTCTAAAAATTCAAATTGCAACATATGCAAAAAAAATTATATTTTTACTATACATATGTATATGTAATAATATTAATCTAAAAACAAATAAGATCATATAAAGATGTTGGAGAAATATTTGATTTATTAAGGAGAGATTTTAGGAAATTTTGTTAAATGTAATAAATATTGATTTCTAATTTTGCAATTTTATTATGATTTAATTACAAAGTTTACCTTAAACTTTTCTATTTAATCAAATGACAAGAGTTTAATTATGAAAATATTACAAAATAAAAGGGTAGAACACAAAAGGTACTTCAAAAATGTTAATATAGATATGAACCATCGATTATTTTATAAACAATACTTACAACACATGCAATCATCAGTTATACTCAAAATATCTTATACATGTGTGTAGATTCTAATATGGATTAAAGAAGCAATGATCAATCTAAAGATTACATTTGAAGACAATAAATGAAATGATATGACGGTCAAAACTACATAGTCGGGTACCATAAGGAGTGAAAGTAAGATTGTTTAGAAACCAAAAGAAGTAGAAGTATTAGCATAAGCGAAACTCCCCAAGGAAAGTTCCCTTCTCCAAAAAGGGACTTAGCCTGGCTTGCTCTCACAGAGTAAGATGAATTAAACAGAAGTCCATGGACAAAGCTTAGAGATACGAGGACGAAGACAAAGAGAATTGGGAGGAAAAGCATGAAGAGCTTGATATTAGCCGCGGTTTTCTTAACCTCGTACTTGTAACGCGGGTATGAAGAGAGGAAGAGAAGCAAAGATATGATCGCGAAGAGAGCTAGTAGTGTAAGAGGAGGTGCTGATGAAGTCAGTAGTGTTTCCTCTAACAATCCTCGCTTCCATGAACCTCCTCTTCTTTCCTTAATAAACCACCCCATCTTCCTTTTTTCTTGGTTCAAAATGCCTTGTTTTGCTTTGTATTGGAGCATATATAAGCTTGTTACATGGATGCCTTATTATAAAGTAGTGTGAATATATGTACAACTAATGTAAAGTCAGATCAATAAGTGTGGCATAACAGAATATGTTCTCAAGAAAAAGAGTCGTTCTCGAACAATCTTTATACCAATCTTTTTTTTGTATTCTATATTCCATGGTCCTATAAATTGATTCTAACAATCTCTCCTCCATTTGTGAATTTCTATCATAATTTTATCTAATATTACATATTATGTTGTGGTTTTAAGCTAACGGCGATGCTTTAGTAAATGAACAAATTTAAGAGGATATATATATAGTTGGAAAAAAGAATTTTATTTAAGAATGTTACGATTACATTTGTGATATGAAAGGAATTTATTTCCTTCTGAAAGGAAGCGACCGAATTGTTTTTCGTCTTGCTTTTGAAAAGATAACAAACAGGCACTAAGGATCATACTAGAAGAATAAACAGCAAGAAACTATGTATTATTTTTATTTGTTTCTTAAATGCTGCTATGCTGGTATAGTTTACAGTGATGAAAATTATCTTTAAGAAATTGATTTTTATGTAAAAGTTCTAATTAACAAATAAAATAAAACTGTGAAGAGAAAAATCAATTAAAAAAATTATTTTCTCCAGATATACACTCCTTAATTAATTTGAAAAAAAAAACTACTTTCATCTCAAATCTATGATTGTCTTACTAAAATATATATGAATAATATTATATTTGGAAAAAATAGCAGTCTATGTCAAAAGTTATTATACATAATCATATTAGGATCATTTCTATCATAATTTTATTTTAATAGGATTATATACAAGTATTCTCATATACTCTAATCTTATTTTTGTAATATTTTTTCCATTTATAATAATCTAAAACATTTTTGAAGTACCTTTTGTGTTCTACCCTTTTATTTTGTAGTATTTTCATAATTAAACCCTTGCCATTTGATTAAATAGAAAAATTTTAGGATAAATTTTGTAATTAAAACATAATAAAATTGCAAAATTAGAAATCAATATTTTTTACATTTAATAAAAATTCCTAAAATATCTCCCTAATAAATCAAATATTTCTCCAACATCTTATATGATCTTATTTGTTATTAAATTTCTATTATTACATAAACATATGTATAATAAATTTTTCTTGTTGCATATGTTGCAATTTGAATTTTTTGAAATGGAAGTATATTACTCAAACGATACAAAAATGGATGCACTAAAGTATTATTGATAATTGAGTAGCACGGGTCATGTGATGGAACGTGTTATAATTTACATAATTATGATTATAGATAATTTTACGGGTTGTCTACTATAGTATAACTCACAAAATATTTTAATATGAAATTATACTATGTAAACGAACATTATGTTAATATCTTTTTAATATTTTAAATAATATACTTAATTAATTAATTTGATCAAATTACGATTATAAAAAAAATATTACCATATAATATTCTACGAGTTAAATCATAGAATTAACAATCAAAATATAGTAGTACACTTTCATATACCAAACAAAATTAATAAAAAGAATACATTTTAGAATGTCGTCTCGCGGGGGTAGCGCGGGTTAAAATCTAGTATTTTTATAAAAAGTTTAGAGACAATTTTTTTTCACCACCTGCCCATGGGCCCACCTCTCAAAATGGGCCTCACGTCCTCTCACTAAGCCCATGAGCCCATTAATATCCGACGGTCGGTTTGCTACCTTCGGGAGGCTTAAAGACTTGTTTACCAACCTTACAAATCACCACATAATCTTTCCATGTGTTTTGGCCTCACTCACACAGTTCCGACAACCACTCCCGGAAGGTCACCCATCCTTTGACTACTCCATCATAAGCACGCTTACCTGTAGAGTTCTCTCAGGACCTTTGACCAAAAAGATAACTGCACTTTGGTGACAAAGGTGGCCAAATCAATTCATTGAAGCCTTTCCGCAAATCAGGATTGCACAATTCTCCCCCTCTAACAGGTCGTAACGTCCTCGTTGCGCACAACGATCTTTACCCCCTGAAAGTATGAGCCCACCACTCTACACTTGTCTGGGTTCGGTTCTGATACCACTTGTAACGCCCCAACCGCCATCTTTCCAATGGACCCTATGTTCACCACCAGCCTATGGGCCCACCTTTTTAATGGGCCGCACGTCCTCTCACTTGGCCCATGAGCCCATTGATATCCGACGATCGGTTTGCTACGTCCGGGAGGCTTAAAAACTTGTTTACCGACCCTACAAATTACCACATGATTTTTCTCTGTGTTTTGGCCTCACTCACACAGTTCCGACAACCACTTCCTGGAATGTCACCCATCCTTTAATTATTCCAGCATAAGCATGCCTAACTGTGGAGTTCTCTCAGGACCATTGACCGAAAAAAATAGTGCACTTTGGTGACATAGGTGGCCAAATCAATTCATTTAAGCCTTTACGCAAATCGGGGTCTAACAAATGTCTTGTGGCAAATCACAACCTCAGACCTTCCTCGTAGTGGTCGTCTCTACCATCACATATTGAATAACTGAGTCGGTTGCGTATATTTTTATCAATAAAGTTGATATTCCGTATTTGGGGTTGACGATATATATCGAAAAAGTATTCTTTAATGAAAACATAGAAATTAAAAAACGGGGAAAACGTTATTTAATTCACGAAGTTTCAAATTTAGGTCATTTAAACCATGAATTTTCTATTTGACCATTCAAAACATATACTTGTCGTTTATTTAATTTTTAAAACATCATCTTTGTTGACCAAGCTAAAATTAACATCATATTCTCAAATCCGTTAACAGAACATCTAATAGAGCAACAAGTTTATGTTCTAGTTCGTGATTTAAATGCCCTAAATTTGAACATTATACCCTCAAAATCCATCATAATATTTTAGTACTATTTTTTTTTGGAAAGACTAAACTAAAATGTATGATTCATAGTTTATGTTTATCTTTAACATATTTAGTTTGGACAATAAAAAATTAAACCATAGGCTGAAATATGTTTGTAAACGATCTATTTCCCCCTGAGAACTAACGTATCAATCCAGATAGAGCCCAAACTTTGACCTCGCTGTAGATATCCCTGAACACAAAATTCGAATCCTATTTCTCCCCGAAATAAAAGTTCTAAACCTATTTCCCCCCGAAATCAAAGTTCATGATCTACTTCTCCCCAATTCTGGGTCTTCACTGGTTTACTATTTATTTAACCATTTAATGAATAGCCTAAACCCGATTAAGTTTTGAAAATCTCAAAATTTATGTCAGAAATCATCACAATCGTTTAATCCAAAGTTAAGGATTGAGAAATTTGGGGATTTGGAGATGGATTCTAATGGGAATTTCGAGAATTTTGAAATTTAATCGAGTTAAAACAAGTTTGGTTTGGTTAAGTAAACACAAAACCAATAGAAACCAAGATCTGGGGATAATTAGATCTTGAACTTTGGTTTCAGAGGGAATTAGGTTTGGAACTTTTATTTCGGGGGGAAATAGAATTGGAACTTTTGTTTCGGGGATATCTACATCGGGGTCAAAGTTCGGGCTCTATCTGGATTGATACGTTAGTTCTCAGGGCGAAATAGATCGTTTTCCCGTTTTCATTCGATTCTTTTCTCTTTGTCATCTGAAAATTGATCATTCGATTCGATTCATGGTGACAGTTTTTGATATTATTTTTTTTGAAATTAAAAAACCCCAAACCCAACAAGGCAACAACCAACCCAGTTGGTTGGCATGTGTATTTTGTAAATTTAACACACGATCTTATATAAAATGAGAAAGAGAGGAGACTTTAGCACGAATGAAAAAGAAACACACTACTACCTCTTTTTTTTTTTTTAAGGTTAACAACAATAAGACTTTAGTACTTCTATAAGTACTTCATTTCTAAGCTCATCGTGAGTTCCAGTTTTATACTTCTTTAATCATATCTTCTAAAGTCACCACCACTTCGTGACTTCCTCTAATATCCTTAGGTGCGACAAGTAGCTTTCTACCGCTACTGATTGAAGTTGAAATATTTTGGAAATTGATAATTAGTATCATTAAAAGAAATTATAATGATAATTAGTATTATTTGAATTTATTTAATTAGAAATTTTAGTTTAATTATGGGGAGAAAATTCATAGTATTACATATAATATGTGTACAGTTTTCTTCAAAAATATATACGATGTCGTACCATTGGTTACTTTTAAAAATATCTGAAAACTTTACACATTTTATATGTAAAACATCTTATAAAATGAAACAAAAAAAAATTGCTTAACATCTTATATCATGGAACATATGGAGTATTTATTTTTCTTTTGTATTACCAAAACTTCAAAAAAAACAAACTCAAAATATGATTATAAAAACTTCTAACCTACATTATATAAAAAAATATGTCACTAAGCAGATTTATACTTGGTTTTGTTCTTCATTAATCGAAATATTTTTTTGTCAAGATCTCAAAAGAATAAGATGAAATTTTAATAAATTACTACGCCAATAAAGATGACTTTTTCATCCATAATGTGTACAGTAGTTTTCATTTACTAGATTAATTTGATAAAACATATAATTTAACCTTTTTCATATCATTTTGATGAAATTTGCTAATTTTCAAGTTAGAAACTTATCTTATTTCTAATTCTATAAAATTTATTATAACTAAATTATGATAAATTGATTTATAGATGCAGTTAATAAAACATAGTTTAATTATATTAAATAAAAAATGATATTCTGACATATTTCCATTCAAGCAATATATATATCATCCTTCTTCCGACAAAAAAAAATATATCATCCTTCTTAATAAAAATATCGAACTTATTTTATTACATATTCCAATGTCACATCTTGGTATTGTTTTTTCTTTCCAAAGTAATATTATCAGTATATTACCCTATTAACTAATTAATTACTAATAGATAATTTTGTTGTTATTTTACTTTTCAACATTGACTATGTCCGTACTTGG